AATGCTCACTAGCTTGTAATACTCATAGCTATCTATAAACAGGATTGATGAAATAAAAGTGCTTTATACTAACCAAGAGAGGAGGCAAACACCACTCCAAATCCAACAGCCAATGGCCCTCCCATATTGAGGAACTTCTCACTTGGGGCACACATTGCAACAGTAGACAGACCTCCCACGATGCCCGCGGTGTACCAGGCAGCCCTCACCATCAGAGGCCCTCCCAGGAGAGTGAGGGGGGCAATCACAGCTCCCATCACACCTTATCAATTATTGAAAAAACAGTTTTAAAAAAAAACCCAAACGATTTCTTTTAAAAAACAAATGATATTAGTGCTATCAACTAGTGTATTGTTGAAGCAGCTTTTTCCTCTAACCTGTTCTAAGCCTGCCTTCTAGTGTTCACCCAAGGCAACTACATACCAGAGACAACAGGGCTGAGAAATTTCTTAAAAGATATTTAAAAACACAAACCTGCGTGGAGCATCCAAGCAAGATGTTTTGGCACTGGGCTGTGCTCATATGAAATGGACCTGACCAGCATACCCGCACCAATCATCGCAGCAAAAGTTGCTCCAATTGCCTAGGTGGGAACAAACAAATCATCATATTAATAAGTTCAACGGAAAAATTCAAGCACATCAGATAAACTACGGTTTAAAAATTGGTATATGACTAAATAAGATCTGTAATATGTAATTCTAAGGTTAAAAAAATAATAATGGTGCAGTGAAGTGAAGACCATTAAAAAACAAAAAACCAAGCAAGTATTGTAAAGCTTACCAGCCAGGATCCTCTCATCATCAGACCCATTAAAGCTGGGGTCCTACTCACAGCTACAGCTGACAGAGCCGTCAGCCCAACACTGCCTGCAAAGTACATGTAGGTAGAGTGGATCCTGTCCTTCACATACTGAGGCCAGATCCTGTACAAAGATGAAAAGAAGCCTTTAGTTTGTATGATTTCTACTGGTCTGCATTTCAAAATAAAATTCAAGTGCTGTTGGTAAAATAAATCTGTTACTCACATTGCTTTCTCTATGGCACCGATATCATTAGCCATGCCAAGTCCATAATAGCACAGAGCTCCAAGGCCAACTGCTGCACCTCCAGCCAGTATCATTCTCCCCATGCTATCAACTTCAGACACATAACAAAAATCATTTGAGATACATTTTATATTTTCGCCTCAGAGGAAACAAGGTTTACTATAACAAAACCATTTCATACCATGAGATCTCACATTTTTCTAAAAATGAAGTTGCATTGCAGGATTTACATTTTAAAATACTTGTTATTTATCCAATACTGGGTTTTGAGTCCCGTCCCCAGCCAATTAATCACAGGTAAGACAGGTTTTTTTCCTCACCTGAATGTATGACATATGGTGTAAACAGTATGTGCTCCTGACAGATTTGCACCTAAGATAATGAAAGCTCTTGGTCCCCTTTCGACATTTGTTAAATCATCTATCAGGAACCTTGGGCTAACTTTTAATTCCACTCTCACTTTGGATGTTCATGTCAAATCTCAGGTTCAGTCTTGCTTTTATTACTTAAGAAACATTAATAAATTAAGTCATCTTTGTGTTGAAACTTAACAGGTCACCCTTAAGTCAGTAGACAGCATAGAATTCAGGCTATATACGAGTAGAAAATATGTAACGGTGCCAAATGAAGTATGTATCAAAGCATTTACTTTTGATGGCTGTATCAGTGGCTGGTTCAAAAGCTGCTTCCTTTAGCTGGTCTCTGGTTGTCCTTGCACGGCGAAACCCAAACCTGGCCTTTGAGGAATAACCCTGAAAGAAGCAGCAGCAGCTTTACATGAATCTTCAAATGTTGAACATGAGTTAGGGTTTCACACCCACCATCAATCAAAAGTGGGGAAGCAGCAAATACCCAGTTTCAAAAAAATACCATGTTTACATAACAAATTAGAGCAGTGGCAATCTGACATTTGCACTTTTACTAGTCCAGCTGCAAGCACCAGTTCTTTGCAGTTGCACCCCCTGTGATCATTACAAACTTATGACTAAAATTTATAAGGTGTTCTACCAATATTATCCAAGATGAAAAATTAAGCATAGCTGCATTTTTAGTACTTTACAAAGCAATGGTTTTCAGGCATGTTTTGCCCATACGTGCATTGATCTCTACAAAACAGCATCCTAAATTTTTTTTAAATTGTATTGGTTAATAAAGGCAGACCATCTGAACCGATTGCGTGTTGCTTTGCAGTCCACTCAACTTGATTATAACTTGCCTCTACCACCTTATCAGACAGCTTCATAAAGTCGGTAGAAGTCCATAAAACTCAGTTCCAATACTATTTTGAAGGCCACAATTTTTTTCCAGCACAGATATTTACTTTCTAAGTTTTTCTTTGGCTTGATTGGCAACAATCATAAACACCTCCCAATAAACAATGCTGACATCTGTGAAGCAGCTGAAGCCATAACATGCAAAACGATGAAAATGTGGCCCAAGTGCAACCCACAATTTATATTAAAAGCACTGACTCAGGTGTCAGCATTACTGCTACAACTCAGCCATAGATGTGGTCCAGATGTCAGGTGTGCTTAAACATACCGTTTATCACAGCTGTCAGACACAGCACATGTACTAACCCGTGTAAAAAGCCTGACTCATGACATTTGGACCACACAACAAAGATTAGGCCCAAATGTGATGGTATATTTTCTACTGACATTTTTCCTTTATTTTACTTCACTATGTATTAATTGGTGTATAGCTGAGACGAAAGCCCAAATACTTGCCAGGAGGCACTTTATTTGGGAAACACTGCTACAAAGTCTGGCTAATGAAGGGTGAATGCAGCAACCACAAAGCATAGAAATGTCAAAAAGGCTGTGTGTGTGTGAGAGAGAGAGCCTGGCGATAAAGTTTACAGTACCTGCTGGGGCCTGAACAGGGGTGAACAGGTCTTCAGGATGGGTGACCGCAGGGCTGGGGAGCCCCGAGTAAGCACTGGTCGGAGCCCAGCAAGCGGGAGAGCCTTCAGGCACGTTAGCCTCGCCACCAACATTGTCACGATATATTACTGTCCCGTGTCACTCTAAAACACAAACACGGAGACGAAATGTTTTGAGAGGAATTCGTGTGACAGAAAGCTGAACTTTGAGCTAAGAGTCACAAAAACAGTGTAAAATGTGCTCGTGCACTAAAAAACGCCACAAAAATTGAGCTAGCTAATGTCGTAATATCATGCGACTAACCCTTAGCCTAACGACCGCTGAACAAACACACATTTAACTACAGACTAAATATGTCTTATCTGTTATATGGCTACAACGTTCAAAATACTAAATAGAAAGTAAATGTTACATACCGAGAGAAATGTCGTCTATCACCTTTCCAGAAACAAGTGCGCAACTTTCTGACGCCACAGTTTTGTAACCTTCCTGAAAATTCTTTACTTATGCGTCATCACTAAGCGACAGATTTGAAGGGAATTGTAGTTCTAACGCAGTGATCCTCAATATTGCGTTGAAGACGTTATTATACCTTTTCGGCGGATAAAGAGAAAACGATCTTAATGCGAATAAAGTACATGTAAAATTTCCCGTAAACAACCTGCGGCTGCAAGAGTTTATTCAACAACCTATCAGAGGTTAAGTCTCCATGGAATGACAGTGTTATATAATTTGCATTATTACATCATTTTTTTAAGGTTTACTACTGAGAGAGTAATAGCAAAAATGTGTTATGTTGTTTTTAACCGATCAAAGAACAATTAATTAAAACAATGCATTTTGTTTAGTAATTATTATCAACAGTTCTTTAGAGGGTGGCATTTTCAGTTTTTATCTCTGATGTGCTCTAATCACACTGCTATTAAAAAACTGTTTATCATCTTTTCTCAGAAAAATACTGAATGCATACCTAACAACTCATTATGATGAGTACCAATCAGATTTCATCACCAATTAAACCCATCAACAACCTAAAGACCTAAAGATCACCAGTGATTAGAAGACTCATGATCGACACTGACTTCTTGACTTCTTAATTCAAAGTCTTTATGATTTTGTTGATTTAGATATGTCATCATGTCTAAAGGGTAGAGGTTTCTACATTTCGATTAATAGTTTGAGATCAGGACAAATTTAAAAATTCAATCAGTGGTTCCTCAAATGTCTGTTCTTGGTCCATTACTCTCGAATCTTCCTGCTCTCTCTTGGCCCTATCACAAAGAATAATAAATAAAGAAGAATAAAATATCCAATGCGGATGATACTGATAACTGTGTGTGTATTTACGTTTATTTTTTGTAAACTTATATTCCTCTGGGGTTTTTTTGTTTTTACTTTAATGTTACTGTAAATTTTAAGTTTTTTATCTTGATATTAACAATGTTAAGCTTAAATGTAATGAAATGTGTCATATAAATAAAACTGACATTAAATTGACACTTCCATACTGTTGTGTACTCAAACCACTTTGAAAAGGTCATATGTTGAATTATTACGTTATTCATGTATACAAAAACAATATCATCCTGCAAAGAAGCCATACAAAATTGCTCTTTAGGTTACTCTAAAGTAAAAATGTAAAGTAAGATTGACCCAGCCTATCTTTAACGACGCTATTATGATATCATATCATATAAAAGAAAACCATGTTTATTTGCAGCCCACCTTGTTCCCTCTGTAACCGCTCTGTTATACTTTTCTCCACTAGGTGGAGTGCTCGCCCTTTTTGTTGCGACGACATTAAAAACTAAAAAGTAAAACCTAAAACTGACCCCCAAAAGGAACACATAGGCTATTATTTAGGTAGCACCGCTATATTTAACCTATATTGTTTACCATGTGGTTTATGTGTGCAAAATTAGCTTTTTACTTTAAAGAAAAGGTCCGTGAGGGGCCGTGGCAGTGCGCCAGTGCTCCCTGAAGCTCCGCTCCTTTGGACCAAAGTTTCCCGTGTGATTCAGTGACTCGCAACTGTTGGATAGATTTGTCATTCAGATCAGCGAGCAGTCTGACCTGCAGCCCCCTCAAACATGATTTCATCTCATCTACGAGTTTTGCTTACTGAAACTAGGCCAGCCTCTCCTTTTGAATTCGATTGTTTTCTGTCATACAAGTGAAGCAGTCTTGGCAAAGTAATGGAATTAATTTCTCTCCGGAGTCGCTCTTTGAGGGAAGGCTGATCAAGTGGATGAAAAGCGGGACGCCTTCAGAGACCGCAGTTCATTTATAATGGTGGGTACAGAGAGCGGACAAGCTGTTCTTTACATATTCGCATGATATTTTAGAAATGAATAAAGAAAAACTAACACGTCATTAACACTTGGCTACAACGACATCACTCCAAGTGACTCGTGACTTTTCATTCAGTTTTTTTTCTTTTTTTATTAAGAAAGCATGATTTCGGTTTGTCCTTGTGACCCTTTAATGCGGCACATGATCTCCAGAGAGACTGCTGCTTCTGTCTGACTTCCTCCCCCCTTTGCCCTTCTGTCTTTTAGTGTGGCGTCTTTATAAACTAACAGATAAAGTTGCCGGAAAATTAGCACAATTTATTTACAGTAAAAACCTGCCCTCTGCCTAAACAACTGCATGCATGTGTTTATGGCTTACAGATGTGTTGCATGACCCCCACAGCTGCTCTGAAATAACCACAATGACTAAACACACAAGCATATCCACCTGTATAATATTAATTAAGGGGGTATAGGTCATGTCGTGGGGAAAATGGGTTGTTTCATTCTTGTCTATGCGTTTCCCCTTGATTTTACTCAGACCGTTACCCTCAAACTAAAACCAGTTAGGACAACTCGAGTGATTTTAGCAGTTTCTACAGGTTTGTAGCCCAAACTCATTCACTATTAATTCAATAAACTATTGGAAACGTTTTTAGTTACTGAGTAAATAACTTAGAGTACAATATTTCCTCAGATGATTATAAAAATCTTCCCATAATGACTTAATGCAACTAAATATATACAAAAAAAATTCCCACTGTAATCCCTTTATCTTTTTTTATCTATCAGAAAAATGTGTTGGACACCGCAGTGCACATTTGCAATGCAATCCGGAGCAAGATGGGTTTGGTTGGCTGGTGTTTAATTTGTCTCCACATAAGATTTACATTAAATAAGAGGCAGCTATTAAAAGCATTTGTAACAAGATGATAAATGGTGCAGTGGCAGTTTTGTTATGAGCAGATGATCAAACGTGTCATATGCCTCAGTGGTTTGTGAATATTCAAGAATGTCAGTTTCTTTTTTTCTGCTTTACCCAGCAGATGCAATAGGCTGAGATAATTGGTGTACATCTAATTTACCATATAAATGACAAAACATCAGACTACTTATTTTCTTGATGAATGGTTGATGTTGAATATTTTTGTTTATTTTGAATCATATATGAGGAGAACTACACACTCAATCCCATAGAACTGTAAGTGTTACAGAAAGAGACATTTTTGTTGCTAATCATCCTCTTGTGTCTTATCTCACTCATTTAATTTGGTGCAGTTGTCTTATCTGACCAGTTCTAGATGACTTGGACCATCCACGAGCTTAGTCACTGACCCTGTGACGTCTGAATGACCTGAAAGTTTATGTTCTGCAATCTCTACCCAAAGGAAGGTTTAAACTCACTCCATGTGTAAAGAGGCCTTTGTGGTTGTGGCATGCGGCAAGGTGGTGCAAGACAGCGCTGAGTTTTCCTTCCAGTGAAAACGTGTCTCAGTACACAGGCTGTTCACCTTTTCATTACGTGCCGTTCCACGTCAACAGTGCTCTATTGGAGCTGTAAACTTCCCATTCCCACTCAGAGAATTTCGCAGGGAGTGTCTAACCATTCCCCATGTTTAGACTGCAGTCATCTGAACTGGCTTCTGTTCTCAAACATGGCCCTGGACAGAAGTTGTAACAGGATGTGAGAAGCGGACCTCCAGGTGTGAAACACAGAAAGGCAAAGATATTAAAGAATTGAGAAAACAGTGGTCATCCAACTGGGTTTCCAACAGGATTTGGCATCTTATCCTTGCCTGATACAGTTAAATGAAAAGGTTGGCCTGTTACTTATGGATCTTAACCCCCACCTCCACCCCACAATCTCCCAAAAAACAGCAGTTTGATGATGCTTTGCAAATATCCTCCAGGTGGAGGCTGCCTCATTTGCTCTTGCTGTGGTATTGACCCAACACTAGCAGACAAGGTAAGCAGGATTATGCTTAATTCTCAAGATTAGTCAGGGATCTGAGTCAAGCTACCATTATCTTAAAAGTGAACCAATATTAATCTTTCAAGAATGTGCAAGACATTCACAAATAGTCCCCATTAAATCCACCCTTATCTTCATTTGATTACCCACCACTTGCCCTCTGCAGACTTATAAAACAACCGAATGGCCTCCAGGCTCAGAGCACGGCAATTTATGGTTCAGTGACAAGCAGGATTTCCCCTTTCAATTCCACGACTCTGCAGTCCTGTTAGCATTTGGACTTCTATTAGTCCTTGTGTAAGATATCCTCCTGGTGTTGACATGGAGGAGTAGCTGGCATTTTGGACTGTTCTGTTATCTACATCAGTGGGAGGTAAAGGATCTCACTCCAAGCCAGACAACTCTGGAGTTTTTCTGGCAAGCAGCTTGACAGCTGTGGGATTGCAGTTTAATTGACAAAATTGTCCTTGATTGCAGTCTGTACCCACATTTCTTTGTGCCTTAATAGTTGTTTATCCACTCGTTTTTGAAAGCAACTTCTACAAAGACTAACTCATAAATACAGTTTGCACCATCCCTCAAACTTGCAGTGGTGGGTGGGCATGTACCTGAAACGCACTGCTGGACTTAAAGATAACAAGTACTTCCTCATGGCAAGGACTAGCTTAAATTCCAATGGGAAACAATGTGTTATACCTTTTTGTATTTTTAACATCTTATTATAGGTGGGGGTTTTTTCTTTAGTAAGTGACTCTCATCATAGTTTTGCAGAAAACAGTGGTGCTGTATGCAACTAACGAATTCAGAAATAAAAGAAGAGCGGAACCTCTGTGACTCAGCATCACAGTGCATTGTTAGGTTCCCCATTTACAAAAATAGTAAAACGAGTGTTCTACCACAGCCTTTCTCAAATGTGTAAAATTTGTAGCTGACAGTTTGATGTTCATTTCATTTGCAGGATAAAACATTTTCTACAACAGGGAACACAAATAACTGGATGGCTCTTTAAGAACGCAACTGGTGACTTGGCGAGATTGGCAGAAGCTATTAAGAAGCAGTCTGTAAAAGCATATCCAGGCTCAGCCACATCCAAGAATGAAGATCAAATACACTCTACCCATTGTCTTTTTTATGGCACTTGTTATCATTGAGAAAGAAAACAACATTATCTCAAGGTAAGTCAATTTCAATCATGAAAGGAGGATTGAATTCTTTTCTGAACGAGATATTAGATATTAAAAAAATGCTTTAGATGTCAAGGCTCTGACTCTATGTTAACCTGAAATGTAACATGCGTTTGGTTTCTCTCATGCTTTCAGGGTGTCAGATAAGCTAAAGCAGACCCCCCAAACCTCTCAACAACCCAGCAGTTTGTCCAACGTACTGCTGAAGCACAGTAGTTTCCGTCTGTCAATCAGCAAGAGGAACGTCACGCTGATGAAGCCGCGGGTGGAGGACTACAGCGAGCACCGAGGGGCATTGAGAAGGGGTAGAAAACACATTCTCCTGCTAGCCACAACTAGGACGGGCTCTTCATTTGTGGGCGAGTTTTTCAACCAGCAGGGAGACAACATGTTTTACCTGTTTGAGCCTCTGTGGCATGTGGAAAAGATGTTGACTTTGGACACTGGAGGCACCAATGCTACAGCGGCAGCCAAAGCATACCGTGATGTGCTCCAAAAACTCTTCCTGTGTGACTTTTCTTTGCTAGAAACCTTCATCGACCCCCTTCCCATGGACCACATCACCCCAGCCCTCTTTCGCAGGGAGTCCAGCAGCTCTCTGTGTGAGAAGTCTGTCTGCAGCCCTGTTGTCAAAGGGGTTTTTGAACGATATCACTGTAAGACCAGCCGCTGTGGTCCCCTGAACCTGACAATGGCGTCTGAATCCTGCCTTAAGAAAGAGCACATTGCCATCAAGTCGGTACGAGTGCGCCAGCTCGAGACTCTGCGTCCTTTGGCTGAGGACCCACGTCTTGATGTAAAATTCATCCAGCTGGTTCGCGATCCCCGGGCTATCTTGGCATCACGTATGGTGGCCTTTGCAGCCAAATACAAGAACTGGAAGGAGTGGGCCATGGGTGGAAATGTTCCTATTGACGATGACGAGGTGAGGAAGTTAAAAGGAAATTGCGACAATATCAAAATGTCTGCCGAGTTCGGCCTCAGACAGCCGTTTTGGCTGCGCAGGCGATACATGCTGGTGCGGTATGAGGACATTGCTCGGTTCCCCATGAAGAAAGCAACCGAGATGTACAAGTTTACTGGAATCCCATTCACTCCACAAGTGAAATCCTGGATTCTGAAGAACACCCAGGCCTCGAAGGAGACAAGCGGAGTTTACTCTACACAGAAAAACTCATCTGAACAAGTGGAGAAATGGAGGTTCAAGCTACCATTCAAGATAGCCCAAGTGGTACAGAGAGTTTGTGGACCAACAATGAAGCTTTTTGGGTACAAATTTGTGAGCAGTGAGGAAATGCTAACAGATAAATCTATCAGTCTCATCGAGGACAAAGTGTTCAGCTTTTTATAGACTTTAAAAAATGTTAACTCCAACACTTGATGCAGAAAATTTCAACCTTTCTAAAGCCTCTGTGATAAATTATTTTTATGAAGATCCTGATACGGAGTGATATATTTTCTGATAATGTCCTATTTAAAGTTTTTTTTTTTTACTATTTAAAACAATTTGACAAAGAAAATAGACTGTTGAGCAGAAAATACACATGAAACGTTTAACTATGAAAGCAACAGTCTGGAGTTTTGATAAAATCTTAACATAGGGCACATCTTTGTTTTTGCACTCTGCACAATTTCTTTTCCTGTCTTACACAAATGGTGCTTTCAGCTCGTCCTGCAAACCACTCCCATATTTGTTCCTTAGCAAATATAGAAAGTTATTAGGGAGAGCTTTTGAGCAACAATGAGCTGTTTCAAACATTTCCAGGAACCTCAATTAGTTATTTTTGTAAAGTAACTCCTTAGTTAGCAACATATGCTGCTCTTATGCCAAAGAACCTTGCAGAAACCGCTTTGTATAGCAATGCTCATATACTTGAGAGGAAATACCAGTGTCTTGCCAGGCAACTTCACTTTCGTATCATTTACAGGTAATGTCCCATGATGATTTATTTATTTTTTCCATTTGCTAAACAGTCATTTATGACAAAGTGTCTGAATGTGCCCCACAGGTTCTACCCCACAATGCAGGGGTGTTTTTGCACATGTATGCTGTAGTTTTTTGTACATGAAAATGTGTTCAGGAATATAAGCACCCATCCTGTAAAACAGACTGTAACAGTGCTACTTTATGTTAACATTCCAACTGCAGCTGGTTTGCAGAATCGTGCAAAGTTTGTCAGGAGGTCTCTGTCTTTTGAAACAAGCCTCTTGGCTGGTGGTAACACGCCTTGACGCTCTGGCCTGTCAGGCAATTTGTTGACACAGAACCTGTTCTTTTTTCTTTTTTTTTTTTTAAAGAAAAAGCTTGTTGCAATAAATCTTTACAGTTGAAAAACATTTTATTTCTGAGGAGGACACATTTTTCACATGAAAGCACTCCATCCAGGAGTGTTAAAATTTAATAAATTGTCTGAAAAGATTTTACATTCTGCTGACAGGAGCATATTGAGCATGAGCACATCCCATTTTGTCATCTTTGTCAGATATTTTTTAAAAAGAGGCTAAACAATGACAGTGTAACAGGAAGCAAATATGGCACATCGCAGCCATACATACACAGATGGTGTAAAATAAAACAACACAGATGGCGTAAAATAAAACAAACACAGTAAACAGCTCTCCTGTAGAATCCCACTTCAATCAGTGTTAGCGGGGGTTTGCTTGTAGCTACATCCTGTATTTGCTTATGTAGCAACATTAATTTAGCAAAGAGCGATGAACGATGGACACAAGTGGACACTAAAAGATTCTTTGCAGTCTTTAGAAAAAGATCACAGTTAAATCGGTGTTTTCCAGATGGTTTCCGACAATATTCTAACATCTGAAGAGACTTTGCGTGGGTACAGTGGGCACAGTTGTTCACCATTAAAAAAATCCCCTGGACTGATTGAAACTTTGACCAGATGTTGGGGCTAAATGAAAAATCAAAGCATTTATCACGATGGTGCCATGCCGGTAACCCAATGTCAGGTTCAATGTCAAGTGCATATATGGTACAGATATCTGTGGGTATAAGGGACAGAACAAGTCATACCAATAGATAAAAATAATGAAATAAAAATGTATTCTTTTTTTTCCATGAAGCACTCACACTATTGAGATCCTGTTTCTCTTTATTCTATCTTCTACCTTCTACCTTATTATTCTAGTTGCTTAGTTCTTTGCTGGTTAACTACTCCCTCAGTTTTCATCCGATTTTCACCATTCAAATTTTAAACTGTTCTGCTCTTTCTGCTAATGCCTCCTATATTTTTGGTGCTAGTAACTTTTATACTATACTATAAATATTAAGCTTTTTATGGCATTTTTGACCCATTTAGATGAATAGGACCACATTACAAGTGTGTTCGCTGATTTAGCTTACCTGGGTGAGCTGTGTTCGAATCCCACTCATGGCAACATTTTTTTCAGTAGACAGGTTAATTTTTTAAACTCTTTTCAAAAAAAAATTTCAGCTTCTTCACCTCTTGTCAGCACAAATTTCAGCTTCTTCACCTCTTTTCAGCAGATAGTTCTTCAGCTGTTTTCAGCAGATTCCACTACACGGCATTCACACTGCATTTTCGTAGGAAATGCAAGTTTCTCATTTCAGTCTCAACCCAGTTTTTATTGTTGTTGTTTATGTCTGGCCTTTTTATCTCTGAAACAATCAGCGCTTGAGATATAAATAAGAACCAAGCAAGAGTGACTTATAAATGATACTGCGCTATATCTCAGTGAGCAGATTCAAGTTAATTTGGCTTCATTCTTTCACCTTTTATTTCTTCAAATGGTACTTTGGCAGGGTGTTACTTGAATTCCTCACAGCACTTCTAGCAATTGCCTTCCAATGCTCCTTTTCTTTTGAGTTTGGAAAGCTTTTTTTTTAAATGAGAAATCTGTACATGTAAGTAATCTACAGAGAAAAAAAGTCAGTAAACATTCACAGTTAATTTCATTGTTTTAGTTGTGAAACATGACCACTCACTTATTTCCTGTATGAGTGGTTATCTAAAGTGACCATTGCTTTGTTGTCATAGCTAAATATTTAAGTTTTTGGTACATTATGTTTGTCTTTAAGGAGGCAAGGAGGAAGGATACTGCAGTGAGAGCTGCCTTGGCTTCCAGTGTGTTTACCACTGTGGGCCCAGCTATTTAAGTCTTTCAACCTAGTAATTACCCAAACTTTACATATAATGTGGTCCAAGTCATTTTTGTCCACCTGACCACACCCTCTTACAGAAATGCACAGAGACAGTTTATAAAGACTCTCTATCTATCTTTTTATATTAAATAGAGAAATTTTTTTTAAAAAAAAAAAGGATCATTCATTTATCCATTCCCCCTCTACTGTTGAGCTAAGCCACCTCACTGCAAGTGCATTCACTCATATTAACAGGTCATTATCTGGTTATTTTGGTCGTTCTATTTGAGTAATAAAGAGCTGCCAGGTCTGCAGCATCTGAGTCCAAACCTAATGGGTTCAGTATTCATAAACTCTTTTAGTGGAGTGACTTTATGTGGGATGTGTGGAGGGTGGAGTCACTGTATGGTTGGGGCAAATATAGAATAACCACTTTCCAGTGAATTAAAGCCTTCTCAGCCCCCCTCCTCAGCAGTTAAATAAGGGCATTTAGGTAACCACACCCTCACACTCTGTTATATGGTGCTTTGCCACATCAACCATGAGGGGTTTGAAATATGCAAAACAACCCTGCGCCGTTGATCCGAATGATAGCGTGTTGTAAGATCTGTGACAAACAGACACAAAATTGAGGTAATTCAGACATGTCTCAGAGCAACATATAAAACTGTTGTAGGCGATAATGATGGTTTAGCAGGAGACATAAATCTAAATACACAGCAAATTGTCTCACATTGAGGAATGCAATTCATAAAACTCAGGTTGTTGCATGTGATAATGAGTGACTACGTGAAGTGAGAGCAGAATTTCACTCAAGAACTCATCCAGTACACAACTTATTAGCTGTTAGGAGCAAAGCTGGAAGGTTTATCTGTCATTTATTGACACTGCAAAGCCAGACATTTTCCTATTTTGTCTGCTAACCTGGGGATTTATGACTGCTTTCATTTCTTTTTTTTCCACCACATACGGCCAGGGACAGACATCAGAGATCTATGTACGTGTCCATTGATCTTCCAGTAAGATGGTAGGAAATGCTTTATCAGGCCGTGTCATGGAAGACTTGTGAAATCACAATGTACTGAACTACTGAGCAACATTTTCAAATTTCTGCGTGACATAACATTTTTCAGCTTTTTTTTTTTTAGTTTGTTTTTCAGGAACTCCATTGTGGCTGACCACAACATAAAAGCCTTTGACAGAATGGAAATTAATGCCCGTTTTACTGGATTTAGACTCTACAAAACATGTGAAAAGTGACTGAGAGATGTGAGCATGAGCTCGCACTGTCTGACCATTATGGTCAACAGAATGTATAAAGGCACAAAATTACAATAATTGTGATGAATTGTGGCAGCTTAAAAAATGCAGTACCCAGTTTTCAAAACAGTAAAGTGTCTAGTTTCTTTCTCTGATGTGTTTTCATAAATGTAAAAATACTCTGACAACAAATGAATTCATAAAAAAAATCAAAGCAGAAGACAACTTTGGGTTGTGTTTTGACTAATACATTTTTTTATGCTTGGTTGGGTTTTTTTTTTTTTTGGTTGAATGACCCCTTGGTTGCCAAAACATTTGGTTACATTTGTTATAGGCAATGTGACAGGTGATGAACACCAGGGGTTTTCTTTCCAAATACAGTACAATCTTTGACTCCCTCATTTTGTTTTCTTTTATTTGCATTTGTTTTCACTGGAACACCCTTTATCGTTTAATCGTGACCTCAGTATTTATGCACAGTACTGCCAACCCTTACCCGTTCCCATAGGAAAACATAAAGTATGGCTCTCATTCCAAATTTAGATATCCATTCTAGTTTAGAGCAGCTTAAACATTTCATGGATATGTCAAACTAGTGTGGCATTTACTTTCAGTCGGGCCCCTGCAACACAAACAATGGGTTTGTGGGTGAGGGGAGATTTAAAGCAAATACTTGGGGTGAGGTCTGCAGGTGGTGCAAAGAAAAGAAGCTGACAAAGCTATGCTTTGGTTTTTCTGTGAGTAAGTATCATGCTAATACTCATGCATTCTTTTTTCGTTGCACTTACTATGAAATATGGCTTTTAAATATAATTTACAACCACAAAACTAACTTGTGGTAACACGTGGAAAACACCGAGTGTTCACTTTTCCTTCCTTCAGTATACTTTGTTTCTTTAGGCTTCACAGAGGATAAGTTTACACCATAAACACTGTTGGAAAACAGGACTGTGTGGGGGACATTAACATAACATAATAGTTAAACT